GAAAGATAGAGAACTGGACTAAACTCCAACTAGTAGAAGAACCTGCGTGAAAAAAGAGACATATGGGAGCTGCTGACTGTCAGCAATCCTGATCACATAGACAGCTTGGATATCACCAAGTGATGTTAGGACCTAAGAATTAACTTAAAAATCAGCCCTGCTAGCCAGGGGCTGCACAGGGGACTTTTTAAAGTATTTCTTTAAATATTTTCTCTTATTTATTGCCTTTTCTTTTTTCTTTCTTTTTTTGTTTCTGTTTCTGTTTATGCAGTGTTTTTGTCCTCTTGCTTTTACTTTTTTTTGACAGTTTTTCAATAGTTGTTTTTGTCTAACTGAGTGGGAGACAGCAACCATGCCCATATGACCCAACTACACCCACACCTCCTTCAGCTCTATTTACTGAGTGGCAGCCACTACTTCCTTCTGCACAAACTGGCCAATGATACACAACGACCAATAAGAGTATGACTCACCCTTAACTGCTTTTCAGGAAAGTTAACAAAGATCTGTGCAGCCACTCTCATTCTCTATTACACCCACTAGGAGACAGGTGGTGAGCATAATGCTGCCATCTAGTGAAAAGAGGAGCACAGTACCCTGCTTATTCAGATACATTATTAAAATAACAAAAACAAAAACAAAACCCATAGAAAATGAAAATCTTGAGTGAACCACTCTAACATACAGTCAGCAATTAAATATAAATACAACAAAGTTACAATGTGTCAGAGACAACAGATCATCACAGTCTATAAAAAGAAGCAAAATAAAGCAGTAGAAACAAGGGAGCAGGATACAGACCCAGAACACATTCCCAGGGAAGCAGCAGCATTGAAATTCCTTCAAAAGGAATGCAAACGAATTATATTTAGGTACTTTCAATGAATTGAGAGGCAGATCAAGGAAAACACTGACAAAATTAAGGAAAACACAGAAAAAAACCTAGAACAATTACAGAAGATAATACAAGAACAAAACAACAGAATAAATGAAAACTTGGAAATGATATAAAATCTACAGATAGAAATCCAGAAGATTAATATTAAATTTTCAGAAATATAACACATTGAAAGGAGTAAAATCAAATCAATGGAAGACAGAATTAATGAGACTGAAGACAAATACTTGAATACTTCTTTGGAAAGGAATCAATCAGAAAAAAGATAAAAACAAAATGAAGGAAGCCTAAGATTCATGTGGGATACCATCAAAAGGAATAACCTAACCTATGTGTAATTGGAATTCCAGAACAGGAAGAGAAAAAGAAAACCATTGAGAAAATTGTCAAAGATTTGTTAAAAGAGAACTCAGGTATGATGAAAGATGACAGTATATCCATTCAAGAAGTCCAACAAATCCCAAACAGTGCAGACCCCAAAAGAAAATCATCAAGATATATCATAATCAAACCCACCAAAACCAAAGACAAAGAAAGAATCCTGAAAGTAGCACATAAAAATGAAAAGTTAACTACAAAGGGCAACTAATAAGACTAAGCTCTGATTTCTTAGCAGAAATCATGTAGGTGAGAAGGCAATGGGATGGTATATATAAAACCCTGAAAGAGAAAAAAATTTTCAACCAAGGATTAAATACCCAGCAAAATTGTCCCTCAAATATGATAGTGATATTAGTCAATTTCCAGATAAGTAAAAATCAAAAG